TCTCTCTCTCTCTCTCTCTCTCTCTCTCTCTCTCTCTCTCTCTCTCTGTTTCTCTCTCCTATACATACATGAACATAATTAAAAAAAGAAAATCACATCTGTCAAGCCGTCATCTTCTCTGTCCCCTCCCTTTCCCCTCTTCTTCTCCTCCACTTCTCCTCCTGAAAATGTCCCGTTCTGCTTGGGGGACGGTTGTGTCAGATGTGATGCATTCACCACCTCGTAATTGGTTTTGTAATTAAATGCTTCTGCTTGGTCGATCACAAAGGACATAGTATTCTCCCTAATTAGGCTGAAAATTCAATATCCTAATTCTTTTTTTTCGCCTTTTCTCTTCTCTTGTGTTGACCAAACGATTGTTGATGAATGCACCAGCCGGGCACGCTGTCGCTCACTCTGCATATTCTCGTCATATTTTCCTTTGTTCCTCTGCTTTCTGCTGTCTCCTTATCGCTCCTGTATTTGCCCTTTTCATGTTGTTCTCTGTCATTGCCTCCCCCTCTTTCACTTCTTCCCTTTCTCTTCTGATGAAAGCGAAAGAAAGCAAAAAGGTAGAGGGTGAGACGTTCCCTAGAGGTGGCACTGTGCCAACACATCAGGCCATGGCAGCGTGGCATTCGCATGCAAACAAAGGCAAGTCCACATAGAGCGCTTTTAAAGAGCGGTTGGGCATCATTATAAGCAGCACTTAGCGAGATTGTTTGATCAATATTGCGTTGATCGTGCTCTCTGAGGAGCTCAGGGTTTTTCAATCCTCCAACCCAAATGCCTTTACGGGGTTGGACACTCAGAAGATTCAGTTTCACAGCCTATTTGGCTCCCAAGTTAATCAATTGAAAACACCACATGTGGAGTCACTTTCATTCCATGTGGTTGTGTTGTTTTTCTTTTGCTTCATATGTAATAAAGTATCTTTTCTGTGCCTTTTAGATTCAAGACAATGTCTATTATGAATTAGTTGTGCTGATTTCATAAATGAATGCACATTTAAGTTTTAAATTTAAATAATTTAATTAAAACTTTTGTTTTTTTTAATCAAAGTTGCCCCACACCTGGGACATTTAAATTCAAGGCCGATACCGACTGAAATAACTAGTACGGATGACAATGGGGCCAATCTATTTGATTCTTACAAGTAACCATTCATCATGACATGTATTAATCACATTGTGACAATTAGCCACCTTTTTCTCAGCAGGTTGTCAAACAGAGAGCTGTTAAGAGGTGATTGGGGTTAAGCGCTGTGGTCAAGGATTGAGTGGCATGTGTGTGTGTGTGTGTGTGTGTGTGTGTGTGTGTGTGTGTGTGTGTGTGTGTGTGTGTGT